AGCCTCCATGGCTCCAGAAAGTCTGGAGTCCATGAGAATTTGAAATTCCTTCTGCATTTCCCCTCGTTTGACCAGAATTCTTCTATAGAATCATTGATCAAAATGTTCAGTAATGGCCACTGGGCACCATTCAGTTCTTCTGATCTCAAGGCAAAGGACTGCTCCTAGCTTTTAACATGTTAACAAAGATGAATTTCTCAGAGGAGGCCACTCTATACAGCAACTCACCACACTAGTTTGACCTTGAAAACCTACTGATTTTTGTTTTTTGGCAGAGGATGAGGGGGACTACCCATCTGTAAAATACAGGTTGACAAAGGCCATTTTAATGGGACAGTAAAGGGCATTTCGAAGGTCATGAGTGGTGCAAACATTAACATGCTCAACTGCTAACTGACCGGTTGGAGGTTGAGTCTACCCAGAGGTACCTCAGAAGAAAGGTCTGGCGATCTACGTCTGAAAAATTAGTCATTGAAAACCCTATGGAGCACAGTTCTACTCTGCTACACATGGGGTAGCCATGAGTTGGCATCAACTTGAGGGCAACTTTTTTTTTGTTTGTTTATTGTTATAGTTTAAATGAAGTTTGCATTTCAAGTTAGTCTCCCATACAAAAATTTATACATACATTATGTGACCCTAATTGCTCTCCCCATACTGTGTCAGCATACTCCTCCTTTCCACCCCTGATTCCCCATGTCCGTTCAACTAGCTCCTAACCCTCTCTGCCTTCCCATCTTACCTCTGGACGGAAGCTGCCCGTTTAGTCTCTTGTATCTACTTGAGCTAAGAGGCACACTCCTCACGAGTATCACTTTATGTCTCACAGTCCAGTCCAATCCCTGTCTGAAGAGTTGGCCTCGAAAATTGTTTTAGCTCTGGGCAGACAGAGAATCCGGGGCCATGCTTTCCGGGGTTCCTCCAGTCTCATTCAGACCATTAAGACTGGTCTTCTTACTCGAATTTGAGTTCTGCACCCCACCTTTCTCCTGCTCCATCAGGGACTCTCCGTTGTGTTCTCTGTCAGGTTGGTCATTGGTGGTAGCCAGGCACCATCTAGTTCTTCTGGTCTCAGGCTGATGAAGTTTCTGGTTTATGTGGCTCTTTCTGTGTCTTGGGCTAATACTTTCCTTTTGTCTTTGGTGTTCTTCATTCTCCTTTACTCCAGGTGGTTGGGACCAATTAGGGCAACTGGTTTTTTAATTAGCATCAGACTCTAACAGGAATAGATCTGTATTATCTTAGTTTGGATTTTAATCCATTATATTGTTATGTCTCTAAAGACTCTAGAAGTGATCAATTGTAGAGTAACATCTTGAGCTGAAGTTTGGTTTAAATCTGTTAAACATCGAAGTAATTAATACTCAATCCTTGGATGTGGCAGATTCTGTGCTTTTTCTGCAAGCTATGACTGTAAAGATTATAATTATAGTAATTAAGACTATTCTTTGAAGTATCATTCACCTAACTGATTTGAATTACACCAAGTACAATACATACCTGAATTGCCTTTCAGAGCTAATAAAATAACTAATAGAATGAAGAAAAATATTTAAAAATCTGGATAAATTTTCTATTTCACAAAAACGGGGTTATAAAATTGTATTATAGATTGGCTACTATCATCCAGAGACCTAATACCAATTTAAAAAACAAACAAACCTGTTGCCATATATGAGTCGATCCTGACTCATAGCAACCCTATACGACAGAGTAGAGTTGCCCCATAGGATTTCCAAGGCTGTAATCTTTATGGAAGCAGACTACCATATCTTTCTCTCGAGGTATGGCTGGTGGGTTTGAACCTCTGGCTTTTCGGTTAGCAGGCAAGTGCTTAACCACTGTGCCACCAAATACAATTTTATTGAAGGTTTATTTTATGCTATCTTATAAATACCTGGAATTATTTACATTTTTCTCTGTGGTATTTGCTTTCAAATATACTTTCATTATCTTCATATAATTTTATGGGAATATAGGTCTCTCCTAGGACTGTATAGAGATACATATTTCCTTATTTATAGAAAATTCCTGCCTCAGGGCTTCCTCTCTAACCCCAGTGTCTAATCAGTTGAATTAATGAGTGAATAAATGAATGAATGAATTTATTACAAGAGTTGACTTTGGAAAACAGCAAAATGCATTTAATTTTACAGTATTTTTTTGTGGAAATACGTGGCTTAATAAAAAATAGTTTTGTTCTTTTAAAATGTTTTCTCTGGTGTTAAAACGATACAAGATACATCATCATCAGACAATGCTGTTTGTTCCAGGAAATAAGTCTTGATGCATCTTTAATCTCCAAAGGATTCAACTTATGTTATTAATTTTCTGGTCACAGGCTCTGACCCTTTTGTTACTGGATGAAGAATTTGTTTTGCTTGTAGGCAAAGAGTAATAATGTGTTGGTAGGACTTCAAGTTGAGGCTATCACGAAATATTCAACAAAGTATAAAGAAGTAAATCACAGAGAATAAAACTCCTTCTAGTGCTTATATTTGATTGATGGAAACTGTGGTGGTCAAAGGACTGGGTATGGTGGATAAGTAGGAAGATAGGACAGAGGGGAGTCACAAAGTATGACAAATCTGAGGAATGCTAATATGAATTGGGAAGCCCCATTCTAAAGGTTGATGGAGGGTTGGGTAGGAGAGGAAGCAAGAAGTGGCAAAGCTAGGACAGGAATAAGGTCCATGAGAACGGCAGTCAGGGCCATGACATGTAAGTAACCAGTGCTTAAATAGGCAGGACATTATGACCAAAAATAGTTCATGCCTTGAAGAAGCACACAGTCTACTGGAATAAAACAGACAGGTAAACAGATTAAGTAAAACATAATGTAGCCAGGGATGTGGAAAGCTGAGAGAATGGAGCGACTAACTTAGCAGTTATCGTCAGATAAGATGCCACAGCTGAGCCGTATCAATGAGGGTGAGTTTGCAGGAGATTGTAAGGGGGTCGAGGTGTGGGTTAAGGAAGGTAGGGGATTTTCCTGGCATAGTGAACAATAGTAACAATGGCACTGAGTTATGTGGCTGGAGTTTCGGGCTAACTGATCAGATTTGATTTTAGGAGGATAATTGTAGCAGCAGTGTTAATAGTGGGCTGCAGGGGGACAGACACATTAACAGACTGCCGGCATTGTCCAAGCAAGGAATGATGGAGGTCTAGCAAATGCAATGGCAATGGGAATGCAAGTTCAAGAGACTTTAAAAAGTCCAACAGGATGTGGGGAGGCAGAAATAAGGGTGTGGGAGAAGTCATGTGTAGCTCGGGTTTCCTATTCAGGAGGCTGACAGAAACTATAAGAGAGGGGCAGTTGCAGGGAGAAGATGTTGAGCTCAGTTTTTTGATATGTTAAGCTTGAGGAACTTATGGGACATCCAAGCAGGGCTGAGTAATAAGCGGGCAGATGGGAACACAGATCTGGAGCTCAAGAGAGGCCTGGGAAGGAGAGGCAGGTCTGGATTTGAAAGTCATCTGAAAGGATGATGGTGGGATGGGCAATGGGATCACCCTAGAAGACCCCGGAAGAGTATGCAGCATGAGGAGATAAGAGAAGTTGCAGAGAAGGAGGAAGTGCCCACCAAGAGCCTGGGAGTCAGGGAGGAAGAGTAGAAACAGGATGAGGATACCTGGAAAACCAAGGAGAGATTCAAGGAGAAGAGGATACGCCATGGGGTAAATGTTGTACAACATTCAAGAGAAATCAGGACCAAAAAACTAACTCCACCTGATAGTTAGTGGAGAAGGATCTACTAGATTACAATGAATGAGGAATGAATGGGAGTTGAGAAAGTAGAGGGGGCCAACAAAAGTACACTATTTGAATAAATTTTTGGTGATGAGTGTAAGAAGGGATATAGGACAATTTATTAAAGGGTATGTAGTATAGGAAGATTTTTTTTTTTTAAACAGAGAAATCTAATTATATTTGTAGGGTTAGGGAAAGGAGTAAAGAGAGAGACTGAGAGAAAAGAACTATAAACATCTGTGTTCCAGGGATCAGGATTATATGTCAGCAAGAGTAAGAGATGCAGAATTCTGTCACATAGACTAGGAACTGCCAGACAACGTATACTGTACAGTTCCTGTTGTAATATCTTGAGTTATACTTAAAGCAAAGTTCACAACTAACATGTCTCCGCAAATGTCAATGCCACACTCTTAAATAATAGGTGTACGAAGTAGGCTCATACTATTTTATCTGCTTTAATGGCATGGGACTGGACCAGATAGCTTTTTGAGGTCACTTCTAATCCTATTAAAAATGTATGATTCCATGTATTTTGACTCTTTTTATGGAATTCATGACTACTTTATCAATATGGTTCTTGGTGAAATGTTAATATGGCCTACCTCAGTTTTCTTACTATTTGTTCTTCCTAGAATATCCTCATTTTCCAACGTAAATTGAGTTCTGTAACAAGTTACCAATCATTTCAATCACGCTCTCTCTTTCTATGTACCATAACACATAAAATATCCCAACTTGAGGCTTCAAAGATCTAGATCAGCTCATCTTATACTTTCTTTTGCGCAACTTTCATTATTGTTCTACTCTGTCTGCTCCTCCCTAGACAATCTGTTCCATTTGTACCAGTGAATACTTTTTTCAAAAAGAGACTATCTACCTTGAATAAAATTCAATGATGTAAATAAAATGTGTTCTCAAGTATTGCCTTTTGACCTTGGAAGATAATCTTTTTTTTTTTTTTCTTTCCTTCTTTTTAACTTCAGGTTGTCCTAAAACATGTTGTTCTGGGATTTGCTCAATTAAACACCGTGAAAATTGTTCCACTGACAGATCACCCTGAAAAACTGGGGCTGCTCCTATTGCTGACTTAGTGTTTGAAATCCTTTTGTTATTGGTCAAATAGATTTAAATTTTAACAAGATATTAGTGCTCAGAAGAAAAGATTATAAAAGTTCTCTAGCAACTGCATGTACCAGTGGCCTGGATATAGCTTCAGAAATAGTAACATACTTAGAATTCTTACCATGTAGATCAGGAACTGCCAGCCAACAAAGTAATACTGTATGGTTCTTGCTGAGATAGCTTGAGTTATATTTGGAGCAAAGTTCACCAATAAATACGTTCCTGCCAATGCCAATGTCATACCTTCAAATAAAATGGAAAAGACAAACCAAATTAAAAGGGGCTTAAGCCTTTTGTTGATGCAAACATTATAGATTGAGCATTACTTGTGAAAGTGCTAAATTGGACAGTCCCTCCCTAAGAAAATACTGCTCATCAAACCCATCCCTAGTAAGCATCATGCATTCACCTGAAGGCATTTCCTTCAAAGGATGATGAGGGCCAGGGAATGGATAGGGTAGGACATAACTTATGGTTTTTCTCTGTTATTCCAGATGAATCCTGACCTCTTCAGGGATGCTCTCCCTCAAAAGATCAGAACACGTGCATGTGGACATGAAAATATATCCAAGTTGGTTGTTTGTTCCAGAACCATGTGGACCATTAAGTGAATGGTAGTGATGGCTGCCCTAGTCATCTAGATTGCAGAGCCTGAGAGTGGTCAAGCCCATCACCAGATGATCTACTCTGCACTTACTCATCCCTGGAGACTTTATACACACTTAGTTCATGGTACACTTTGAAACTCCGATAAATAAGTCCCTTACATACCTATACATACCCATTGCTGTCAAGTCGATTCCGACTCATAGTGACCCTATAGGACAGAGTAGAACTGCTCCATAGGGTTTCCAAGGAGCAGCTGGTGGATTTGAACTGCCAACCTTTTGGTTAGCAGCCGAGCTGTTAACCACTGCCATTTACTGGAGTCTACCTTTAGCAGAAATAATGAGGGTGAACACTGATTTTGCTGCAGGATTTCATTTTACCCAATCTAGAATCTAGAATTCCTGGGTTAGCTTAGTAAAAATCACCTAATAAGCCAGTGTAAGGAATGTATCACTGTCATCATTTTAACATTACTTAAAATGATGGAGGAAGGGAATGTGTGTGGGAGGGGTGGCCACAGAAGGAAATAACACATCCATATAACCCTGAAAACTGCTTATTTATATATAAGTAGCAGACCCCCCCCCAAAAAAAAAATGAACAGACAAACAAAGTAATATATGTAGCATTTTTCAGACAGCACACTTGAAAACATAATTCAACTTGTTTCATCACCAAGGGCAGCGTTGCTGTGCATGTAATTAACAACAAGCATTGACTCCAAACTGAAAAAATCTCACAGTTTGAAGGCACCAATCTCCCATTCCTCTAAACCAAATGATTTAGATTTCTGCACTCTAGTTTCTGAGAAGAAATAGCATTTGATTTTTCACACCAGCTAGACAACAGCCAGGTACTGGAGAAGCTATAAAAGAAGCTTCCTCTAGTGTAACAATTTATTCTGTAACACCTTGTGAACATAGGAATTACATACATAATTTTTAAAGCTATTTCTAAGGAGAACTTTTAAAATGAAAAACAATATAAATTATTAAACATTGCAATAAAAGCAAAATAATGAAACTATATATAAGAACTTGGGAAAACATATTGGTCAGCCTTGTTTCCTTGGGAAAAAAAAGATCTTACAGTGTTCAAAATTAAGTTCTTAGGAGGAAGAGTTGCTGTTGCTTTTTAAATACACTCCTAAACTTGGAATAATAAAAGTAGGATAAATGTACTGAATACACTTTTAAAACTCTCAGAAATTTCTAATAATTAGTGAAAAGTTAAGTCTCCCTCACACCCTTACGGCCCAGTTGTTCCCCTCTCCAGAGTTAACTACTGCCACCAGTTCTCGAGGTTTTCCTTTCATAGAAGTTTTATGCATGTGTGCATGTCAGTTCCTCACCTATGTAGGCCTTGGCTTCTAAGATCTGCTTGCACAGTCCTTTCTCAACTGACATCTTTTTCCCCCAGATCACCCTTTCCCTTATTAACTAACACTTGAGATCCCTGACTTTGTCTCTGCTTCCCTGGCAAGATATGACCAGTGTTAACAGCCTGTCTTCTGGCTTCTAGAATCTGGCTTGACCTGACTTCTGGTAGCCTAAAGAGTTTTTTGTTTTTCTTTTCTTTCTTTTTAGTATTCGGCTAACCTGACTTCAACCAAGAAAGACCGCTGTCTGATTCTCTTGGTTTCTGCAATATCTTTCCTGATCCAGAGGATCTAGCTCTTGCTTTTGTGACAGAATAAATTGGACTCCTCAACACAAAACCATTGGGGATCCCCTTCAATTACTGCAATCTGTCCAGATTCTTCAGGCTTATGGCAGCTAAATCTTGTCGGGGAGGGTGCCCTGGTTTGGGAAGTCTCAACAGTATAGTAAATTGGAGTAGTTCTGGACCTACCTTCAGAAAGTCTTTCATTCTTGAGGCAACTCTGAAACCAAAGTGGCCAGTCTGTCTTCTCAACAAGAAGTGATGGTTGGTTGGGCCAAATTTGTATTATAGATACTGGCACCAAACCAAGCTGACCTCTGGTGTGGAAGAAGTAAGGAGATAGTCTTCATCTTACTGTTAATCCCTTAGCATTTTATCTAGGGAAGTCATTTATAGGTGACTTGAAGTAATCAAGTTACTGGTCTCTGGAGAGTGCCGATGAGAGTTGACTGTAATTTTTATTTCTATGATGACACTATCTGGGCTTAAATCAACTAGGATCTCACAGACTATTAGATCTAGTACTTTTGATGACTAAGGGAGAAGCAAGCAGAAAATGCTATACTTTTGGCTGATTGAAAGGGAGAAATCTGGTACTTTTTTAAAGGAAAAAATAACCATTAAAATAATTTAAAATTATTAATCCACTAAGAATCAGAGCACAGTTCAAAACCTGCTATTGAGTTAATAATAGTTGGCAATTCCTTTCAGACACAGCTTTTGTGAAGTCATTTTTTTGAGGCTAGTGGTGAAAAGCTTCATAGCCCCGGAGTAATATTTGGCAATAAATTAGTTCAGCTTGTTTCCACATGGCCTGAAAATCTTCATTTGTTCCATCATGAAAAACAAACTTTCATTTGCTTGAAGCAGGGAAAAATAAATGATTTTCCTTTGCACATTTTGACAATTTAATTTTTAGCACGCTCATATGCTAACCTTTAAAAAAAACACCACTGACTACTCTTTTCCCTGTCTGATGTTAGTCCCTGTAAAGAAAAATGCATTTTTAGCTTTCAACAGAAAGAGCCAATTTTTCTCAAAAGATCAAAAGTCCCAGAGAAAATACATGCGATTTAACACATTACTGAAAGAGGTTGGACAAAGGTTTTTCCCTGGACTTCTCTAAGCATGAAGTGGGTTATTACACATCAGATGACGGTCTTATGATATTGCTCACTGGAGGCATGGGTATGGAATAGGCGACTAAATTCTCTTTCATTCCTATGATGCTAAAGTCAAGAACTGATCACTTTTAATGACTGTATGAGACAAACATGACTTATCAGTTATACAGCCCTATTTAAAAAGCAATAAGTTATGAAGGCAAAGTAAACTCAACCAGAGTAGTAGAAAATGTTACCTAGATTACTAAAGTTCACAAAAACATCCTAACCAAGGTGTTCTCTAATTAACTAGTGGAATATAGTGGTGGGTGGTAGTGGTACTAGTACTAATAATGATAACTAACATTATCGATCGCTGGTGGTATAGTGGTTAAGACCTTGGCTGCTAACCAACAGGTCTGCAGTTTGAATCCACCAGCCACTCCTTGGAAACCCTATGGGGCAGTGCTGCTCTGTCCTATAGGTGGCTACGAATCAGAATCAACTTGACTGCAACAGGTTTGGTTCTGGTTTGGTTTTATTGAGCACTTAAATTTTACATATACAAATTCATTTAATCCTGTGAGGTAGGTAATATTATCTTCATTTTAAAGGTGAGGAAATCGAGGCTTTAACACACTAACTTTGCTAAGATCATACAGCTCTTTGACTAGAGACTCACCCTCAATCATTACACCATTACACCATACCAGGATGCTTTTGTTAGAATACTGGCCCACCACTTACTAGTTATATGACCTTGGGTAAGTTATTTAACTCCTCTAAGTAACAGATTTTGCTCTGTAAATGGGTTGTTCTTACATTTAAATGAGACTCTCCATATAAAATATTTAATACACTACCTGGCATGAGTAAATGTTTAATAATGTTAGCTATTATTAAAACATGAGAAATTAGTAAAGCATCCTAAAGAATAACATTTTTTTAAAGAATCTATTTCTACAATGGCGCTATTCCTCTGAACTCAGCTCTACTCTTACCTAGCTTCAAGAAGGGGGAAAAAGGGAAGAACATACTGGCAACGCTTTTTTCTTTTAACCAAATCTTTATAAAGCATTGGTTTTATTACAAAGTGTGTGTGTGTGTGTGTGTGTGTGTGTGTGTGTTCCGTATCACTAATGTATATTACATGTTTGTATTACCTCTGTGTAGTGAAGAACTAACTTTACTCAAAGAGAGGACTGGCCTTTGTCTTAGCTCCTAGGAAACCAAAAAAAAAAACCAAACCCATTGCTGTTGAGTCACTTCCGACTCAGCGACCTAAACTCTTAGCATTTCCTGAGAGACAGGAGTGTCTTTGTTATTCACGGTGGGCCCCTATCTGACCTGATGGTTTATGCTGATGAGATTAAGGCCCATAGTCTTTGGACGGGGCGGGGGTGGGCCACACCAGAAAGACTAACCATGTGATTAGAGGGTTGGGATTTTGAGCCGGTGATAGCAGCCCCGTCTCCAAAATCAGCCCAACATCTGGAGAGGTTAAGAGGGGAGCGAGCTGGAAATTGTGTTCAACCATGTATGGGTGATGCTTTAATCAATCACAACTACATAATGAAACTTCAATAAAATCTCTGGACACTGAAGCTTAGGTGAGCTTCTCTGGCTGGTAATACTCTGAGTATTGTCATACTTTAATACTGGGAAGGTAACGTGTCCCTGAGGACAATGGAGGCTTTGCTTCTGGAACTCTCCCAGACCTCACCCTATGTGTCTTCCCTTTGGCTGGTTCTGATTTGTATCCTTTTGCTATAACAAAACTGTAATCATAAGTATAGAACTTTCCTGCATTCTTTGAGTTGTTCTAGTGAATTATTGAACCTGAGGGTGGTTCAATTTGTAGCCAGCTGATCTGAAGTGACAGTGGCCCTAGGGATACCTGAATTTGTGGCTGGTGTTTGAAGTGAGTGAGGGCAGTCTTGAGGAGACTGTGCCTTCTGACTGTGCAATTTGCCAAACTCATTGCAACTACTCAGAAATTAAGGTGACCATATAAATGATGATAATTATACTGATAGGGCTTTACGGTTCTCAAAGAGCTTTTATATGAATTATCCAATTTGATCCTCAAAGCAAATTTATGTATTTGTCAAAAAACTGAGGCTCAGAGAAGTTGAGTAATATTAGGTGGGACACACAGCGGATAACAGAAGTTGAATCCAGATTTGAACCCATGAGAGAGAGTTTAATTTATATCCTTTAATGTTGAATTAATTTATTGCTTCTAGTAACGTTTAGTTGATCTCGGATCTTCTAAGTATATAAGCAAGTCATCTGCATATACTGATAGTTCTACTTCTTCCTTTTCCATACTTACGATTTTCATTTATTTCTTCCTAATCCTTACAGGTACCAGTTGTAGTATGGTGTTAAGTAGAAACTTACCTTACTTTTTTCTACTGTTGTAACACTTCTTATGCTATTCCCTCTATAAGTCCTGCTCCAAATCCTTGGATGTTCAAATTCTATGTAGCCTTCAGAACTAATTCAAGTGCTACCTCTGCTCTAAAAAATTACTTGATCTTCTCAGATGAAGTCATCTCTCTTTCTTCTAACAAGTGATTCTCAACTGGGGGTGATTTTATCTCCCAGGGGACATTTGGCAATATTTGGCAACATTTTTGAAGTCATAACTGCGGTGGAGGGTGTTACTGGCATCTAGTGGGTAGAGGCCAAGGATGTTGCTAAATACCCTACAATTCACAGGAAAGCCCCTCTCCCCCACAACAAAGAGTTGTTGTTAGTTGTTGCCGAGTTGATTCCAACTCATGGTGACCCCATGTGTGCAGAGTAGACTGCTCCATAGGGTCCTTAAGGCTGTGACCTTTCAAAAGCAGATTGCCAGGCCTGTCTTCCAGGGCACCTCTGAGTGAGTTTGAACTACCAACCTTTCAGTTAGCAGTCCAGCACTTAACCATTTGCACTACCCAGAGATGTCTAGCAAAGAATTTTCTAGCACAAAATGCCAACAGTGTCAAAGTTGAAAAACCCTGTTCTAAACTAAAAGCTGATAGCATTACGATACATATCATTTCTACTTTTAAAAAACCTATTTATGTATAGATTTTACATTTATCGCAGACTGTAAATTATTTGAAGGCAGCGATTCTGTCTTAATCATCTTTTTATCACTAACATTCAAGATAATTAGTAAATTTCTCCTTTATATCCATCTGTATTATCACATTAAATGCCTTAGATTAACTATAAAAGATGATATATGTTAGGCAAAATGTGTTAAAATTTCCTTAAGACATCTGATAAATGAGAAAACTAATGTAGGACCTAATTTTTTAATTTATAAAACTCAGGCATTGGCCATTCTTATTTCTGATTCTATACATTTGCTCCAAGTGATTCCATAATCCACAATAATAAAAAAGGGTATAGAAAAATAATATATTTGAAAAGATACAACCCACATATGAATGTATTTGGAAAAACATTTTAACCATGAAAAATTTGACAATGTTGACTAAAAACTCTACTAGCAAAATCAAACTAAGGAGGAAAAGAAAAAGTAAAAACACTTTCAAGACACTAGGCTCAAGGGAAACATGATCAGGGAAAACAAATGCTCAACATACCAACACTGGTGTCACATTGAGAGCTCAAATTTTTTAGAAAAAATATGATCTCCCTGGAGGAGAGTAAGCATTGTTTTATTTAAAGTACCTAAAATATCTGTATTCATTATCATATGTCAGCAGCCATTCAGACAGGGTTTTGTCAAGGAAGAAAATATGAATCCCTATGATTCTTTTCAACAATGGTATTTCCAACAAGAGCTAGAAGATACAATCAATAAACGATGGCTTTGCTATATAACAGAAATCACTCTTACAGACAGGAAAGCTACTGTTATTTTCCACTAATAGCTACATTTCCAAATACAATTCTAAAGAGCAACTTTCCATATTACTTTAGAAAGAGCTAAATACAAATTAAGTAGTTGACTGGTACATCTAATATGTAAATATTAAAAATATTAAATATATATTAAATAACTACTTACCTAGTAAGTCTGAGCCTCTCAAATTTTCTTTCAGGAAAATAACAGAAATAATGGCACTACCTATAAAGAAAATGGCCATGAGTAGTATTCTAACAGAAAAACATATATTATGCAATGCTAGTTCAAAGAAGTTAAGCAGTTTGTGTCTTATGCCTGACTAGCTGTGTCCTGGTCAGAGATGCCCAGCAATTGTAGCTGTAAAATGACTCTGTCTCTCTTCATGGTTAAAGATACATGGAAATCAGCCTGGTTCCCACTGAACCTAGGACAGTGGCTGAGATAGGGCCTGGTATATATATGATGAGGGCTTAACAGAAGTTTACTAAATAACCAAACAAATGATTGGAAAGAAAGAAGAAAGGCAGAAAGAGCTAGAAGGAGCAGAAAGGCATGAAGAGGCAGAAGAAAAGGAAACAAGGAAGAAAATGAAGGAAAGAAGGACAGAAAGAAGGAAGAAAGTCTTAAATTTTTTGTTGCTGTAAAAATACAGCTAACACAACATTTGCCTAATTAATATTTTTCACATGGACAGTTTAGTAACATCAATTACATTAATCATGTAAAACTGTCACCAATTCCATTGCCAAATTTTCTATCATCATAAACAGACACTCAATGCTTCCTGAAAAATGACTTCCCTTTCCCTCTTCCTCCCACCTCTGGAAACGACGTAGAAACTTTCATCTCCATACATTTGTCTATTCTAGATATTTCACACAATAGTTGTCCTTTTGCGAATGACTTACTTCACTCAGCATAATGTTTTCAAGGTTCATCCATGTTGTAGCATGTATCAGGAGGAAGTCTTAATTTTAAATATGTCCCAAACTTAATCATTTCCCAGCATCTTCTCCTATAATCCCTACTCCGGTTAATGCTACCTCCATATACTACTAACACCAGAGTCCTGAGACTCTTTATAGTCTCTCCTCTTCTTCATACTACACAGCCAACAGGCTGTGAAGTCTATGCTTCACTGTCTCTGAAGTCCACCCCTCTCTTCTTCAATTCCATTGTCACCGACTCCCTTAGGTAGCTTCATCTCTGACTTAGACCCCTCCTCGTACTACCACCAAAATAATCTTTGTAAAATGCAAACCTAATGTCAATCCTCAGTTTTAAAACCTTTTAATGGCTTCCTGTCATCTATAGGACAAAGGCCAAACTTCTGAGCACGACAATCAAGACCACCATGATTGCTCCTGCCACTTCTCACCATGTTTGTCCTCATCTCTTTTTATATTTCACACTTCACTTTTAGTAAAATAATCACAATTCCCAGAAACGGCCTTCAGTTTTATGCTCAAGGGCCTTTGCATGTGCTATTCTCTCTGCAACTCAGCCACCATCCTCCTGACCAACTCTAGACTCAAGCATCACCTCCAGATTCCCCTAGGCTGAGCTGACCACTCCACTGTTATACCATGATTACCTCCTGTATCACTTCACCTAAGATTTATTTCCATCATCTGTCTGTCAGTTTGTTGTACTATGGTGGCTTGCGTGTTGCTCTGATACTGGAAGATATGCCACAGGTATTTCAAATATCAGCAGGGTCACCCATGGTGGACAAGCTTTGGTGGAGCTTCCAGACTGAGATTAGGATGAAAGGCTTGGCAATCTACTTCCAAAAATCAGTCAATGAAAACCCTATCGATCACAACAGAATACTGTTATATAGTGCGAGAAGATGAGCCCCCTACGTTGGGAGGCACTGAAAATACACAGTGGACACAACAGTGGACTTGAGCATACTAATGACTGGGAAGATGGCGCAGAACTGAGCAGCATTTCTTTCTGTTGTGCACGGGGTCGCCACGAGTCAGAGCTGACTTGACTGCAACCAACAAAAAACAACAATAAATGTATTAAAAATTTCTATTGCAGATTTGGATCAAAACAATTTAGGAAAACGAATTTCACATATTAGAACATTAGAAAGAGTATGAAAACTAAGACCCCACCCACCCCAATCACTGACTTCCTTTGTAATTAGATAAGGAATGTTTCCAAGCAGAGGAAGATAGATTAGCGATAAAAAGCAGGAGAAGTATTGCCAAACTAATGTATACCGAATGCATTCCATGATAACAATCTTTGAGATGATCATTTCTCAGCAAAGGATTCCAGTAAGAAGGGAGACACTGCTTATGTGGAATAAGGAAATCTTAGAGCTATAAGGAGACATAATCTCCTCCAGGTCTTAAACTTTGTAATCGGGAAACTGAGGTCCAAATAGGTTGTTTGTTTATTCATTGATCCGTTCATCTAACAAACATTTACATTACAGATGAGTTGGAATCATTACCCATATTCCCTTATTCCCAGTTCAGGGCTCTCCTTAGTACGCTACACTCCATTGCCTCCCTTGAAGTAAGAAAAGACATCATTTTTCTTCTCTGCTTGTTGCTAAACCACAGTTTCATAAATAATTTTACTTTCAGAAGAAAGAGGGAAAAATGTTATGAGGGAGATAATTTCATTGCTAGATGGCACCAAATTATATCAATTGCTGTAAAATAGTTACCAGAGTTTTGTCAAAAATAAATATAACTTTTAGTTTCTACTAAAAGAATTTAGAAGTCTAATGCACTTCCATATTCATCTAATGATTTTTTTTCTGTTTTAAGAGAACATGAGATTTTCTATAAAATTTTTAGACAAGAGATTTTTAGTTTTAATTGTCTAGTTTTGAAAAAGTAATGAAAAATGAACAACGAGATACATTTACTTTTAACTCATTTATCTTGCAAAATATGGTTAAAATGAGAGTTGTATTGAGCAAAAAGACAGTATCTGGGCAACAGCTAATAACATGACGTCTAAGTAGAGTAGTAAATTTTTTAAAATGAGAAAAAATACATAAAATGAAGTGCTCCCATAAATCTTTGAAACTGAGATCTGTCAAACTCAACCCTCTCTAAGTAGTTGCTGTAACAACAACCCTTGCCTAACGAACACCTAGAATGTGGGAAAAAGTATTACACTTTTATTCCTAGAGTAAATTTCAATATTAAAAATTACAAACAGTTTGTCAAGATCAAGGTTTTAAGAGCATTAAAACAGAACATGTCTGTAAACTAACCAGATTTGTGCAACCCCAAAACTGAACCCATTGCCAATGAGTCAATTTCGATTCATAGTGACCCTATAGGACAGAGTAGAACTGCCTCATAAGGTTTTCAAGGCTCTAAATCTTTACAGAAGCAGACTGCCACATGTTTCTCATGCAGAGTGGCCGGTGGGTTTGAACTGCTGACCTTTCAGTTAGCAGCTGAGTGCCACCAAGGCTCCTTAGATTTGTGCTAGGTGTGATTAAACTATAGTTATTACTGAGTATTTACATAAGCACTCAGTTTTGTGTACAATTTTTGGCTTGGGACATATTTGGGCAGAGGCTCATAAATTCTTTTCAATTCTGTCCTTCACAGGACAGTGGTCTACAGAGAATGTTCATAGAAACTGGTCTACACAGAATGCTCACAGACCCTGCACTACACCAAGTGCTCATGGACAGTGGTCTACACAGAGTACTCACAGACACTAGTCTACAGAGACTGCTCATGGACAGTAGTCTACACAGAGTGCTCATGGACACTGGTTTACAGAGAGTGCTCATGGACACTGGTCTACAGAGAGTACTCACGGACACTGGTCTACACAGAGTGTTCACGGACACTAGTGTACAGAGTTTATATAGTGTGCTCATAGACACTAGTGTACCCAGAGAGTGCTCACAGACACTGGTCTACACAGAGAGTACTCATGGACCTTGGTCTATACAGTGTGCTCATGGACACTAGTATACTCAGAGAGTACTCATTGGCCCTGGTCAACATAGAGCACTCACAGACCTTGGTCTACACAGAGTGCTCACAGAACAGGTCTACAAAGTATGTTCACAGACACTGGTCTACACAGAGTGCTCTCATCTACACAGAGTGTTCACAGGCACTAGTCGGTACAGAAAGTACTCATGGACCCTGGTCTATACAGTGTGCTCATGGACACTAGTCTACTCAGAGAGTACTCATGGAACCTGGTCAACAAAGAATGCTCACGGCCACTGGTCTACACAGAGTGCTCATGGGCCCTGGTCTACACAGAGAGTACTCATCTTGGTGCTTAATTAATAAATACCTTTTCAGGAAAAAAAATGGATAAAAGGAAAACCAAGAGGAAGATACTTGCTCTCCTAGGCATGCAATAAAATGTCAGGATGTTAATAAAATGTCCTTCTGTTCACATAGTCTTTCCTCCAAGGAGCAAGCTCTGCTATTTGCCCAGGCAAAACCCAGCACCTATAGCCAATGAACTGTTATTCTTGGCAGGTGGGAAATGTTTATAAAAGTTGATGCCTGCCCTCCTCAAGTTTATCAGCAATTGATGGTGGATGCAGTTGCCCAAAGAGCCATCTCATCTTGGGGCCTATAATTCTGTTGGGTTTATAAAATTTGTGATCAGGGGAACTAATCTGAGCTGTCTTCAATTCATCCTTATCTCGTTATCCTTAAGGAAATGCTCAGTCAGAAGGGAATGGGCTGATTAATGAGGATGCTGTGAGTGGAATGTGGACAGCAATCAGCCAAAAGGAACTCCTTGCTCCTTATTACTCAAAACGTCATTCCAGGCAAAAAGGTATAGGTCCTACTAAAGAACTGTTGCAGCCACAAAGCTGTATAGGGCAGCAAGGCCCTGAGCTGGGAGGGTTGGAGCACCTGGGTTTTAGTTTTGGCTCTATCAATAACCAGCTATGGAATATGACACACGTCAACACATTAACCTCTGGGTGTCAGTTTCCTCACTGGTGAGATGAAGCACATGAGCTATATGTTTTCTAATCATTCTTCTGGCTCTAACATGTTATAGATAGCCAGTTATTATAAATAACAGCATAGGTTAGGCCGAGTTGTTTGTGTTTTCCCCAGCGGTTGGAGTATTTGAGGGAAAAGAGATGGGTCCTCTGTTCTTCAAAATGACCATAAACTGTGTGTGCAGATATGGCTGACAACATCAAGATTTGACCCATTGTCCTTTCCCTACTAAGTGCTGATCTATTC